CAACTTGATCTGAAATATTAGGTAGATGTCATTTCTCCTTTTGTCAGATGATTTGAATATTTTGCCCGTTGCCGTGTCTTGAATTTTGTAGCCTCCAAAATTTGAATAAGTTCGGCGTGGCAAGTTTGATATTTCTTGTCCTTCATAAATGCTCTGACATGTCAAGTTGATCAAATAATTTATCTGCTGATTCTTGCTTGAGTATAAAACAATTTCTCCGCGAATCAGCCTCCTTCGAGCGTCTCCGGTTCCACCGTAAAAACTTGATGTTCAGATGAAAATATATCAGATATTTTCTCCTTCATGATCCTTGTAAAATAATATACTGAGATCCTTGTAAAATAATATACTGGAACCTCTGTAAAAACTTCATAGTTGTTCTTGGTGAGATGCTCTGTTTTCGTTTTTAAGCTTGATCCACCATACTTGGTGTGTTTCTCCATCTGGTGCATGGCTCTTGTGAGACTTGTGCATTCTCCTTGGTTAGTCTCTAATTTACTTAGTCTCCAAACTTGGCTAGTCTCCAAGTGGTTAGTCTCCTTTAGCTAGTCTCCCTTTGGTAGCTAGCTAGTCTCCCATACGGTTGGGGTTAGTCTCCCATAAGGTTGGGGTTAGTCTCCCATACGGTGGAGCTAGTCTCCCAAGCAAGGTAAAAATACATCACTTGAGATTTGAACTTAGGAACACATGGTATAGCTCACACGCATTTCATCCAACACCTCTAGCATGGTTCTTGGTGACTTATCTGCATCATAATTGTGTTAAGCTATAATCCCGCTTAACTTCTTCAAATAAATTATGATTTCCAGACTTGTACATGGGTTGCATGATATGGGTGCACCATACTCCGTAGACTAAGACTGACTCAAATAGAATAAAAATGGGGACTACTTGATTTTTCAAAAATACATTCGGCTCATCAAAATTTACAATATAATCCTAACACTATATATACATATATACATACAAAGATTATATATGGGGTAGGGGTAGGGGTGGGGGGGGGGCAGCCGCCCCTACCCCCTTTGGCTCCGTCCTTGGGTAGCCCGAATTACTAAACCCGATAAATAACGTAAATAATGAGAGTATTTTAAAGAAGACAGAAAAGATAAGTAAAAAGGCTAAAATACCCGATTTATTTTACCTATTAATATTTTTCGGTGAGTTTTGGAGGGCAATTTGATTAGAGAGACCAAAATTGATAAAAATTGAATAGTTAAGGTACTAAATTGACAGTTTTAAAAGTCATGGATTGAAATTAACAAGACCTCAATAATTATAGGACCAAAAGTGAAATTAACTCCAAAGACATATCTTTCACATTTTCAATGGCCAAAAGAAACAAATCAACGGAGCAGAATATCATAGCTCAAAATATCCTCGTTGAATGCAAAAGGGTGTTAAACAGGGTGGAGGAATGGAATGTTTCTCTGATCTTGCGTGAACAAAATCGTGTTGCGGACGCATTAGGAGCCATATCCAAAAGTCTACCAAGAGGATTATAGCTCCTCGAAGTTCCGCCGGATGAGGTCAAGGCATTGCTTGAAGATGCCGAATGTGGAGTTCTGGCAGGGCGCCAAACCTTTATCTGATCAGTCGTTATATCGTGGACCGCGGTCAAAACGGCGCCGTTTCTTTAAGTAAAGAAATGAGCTGTTATAGTTAACGGAGTGCACATATTTGGTGTATTAATTATTAACTGATACTATGTATCTAAACCGATACTGCCTCACGTATTATTTTATATATTATCAACTGAAACTGCAATTCAATTGAAGTGAAACTGGTATCTAAACTGACATTACCTCACGTATTATTTTTATATTATCAACTAAAACTGCAATTGAATTGAAATGAAACTGCAGTATATATAAAATAAAATTGAATAACATTTCACATTTTTTAGTGTATATTGAGTAATGAAGCTGTAGTTATATCGAAATGATCATGTAGTTCTGTTTTAATGAAACTATGGTGTATATAAAATAAAATTAAATAACATTTTCACATATTTGGTGTTATAATTTCGAATGAAAATGTAGTTATATGATATGAAACTGTAGTTACATCGAAATGAAACTACAGTGTATACAAAATGAAACTGAATAACAGAGTTACTTTTTGCGAAATGGCGCGGAACGGCGCGAAACAGATGGCGTTTGTTTTCATTAAATAAAACGACGTCGTTTTGACGCGCGGTGCATAATCAATTATGCACCGCGGTGCACGATGTAATTTGCCCTAGCTGATTGAAATTGTATTTCGGTCTTGTGTGGTTCACCCCTCCATTAAATATTTTTTTAAAAAAAAACAAATCAAATTAAGTAAATATTATTATAGTTTAATTTTTACCATAAAAGAGAAAACAGTTAAAAAAAATAAAAAATAAATGTCATGACTTTTTCTCAGGTCCACACGTTTTTTAGTGGCAATGGTGATTTCTTCATTTCGATTCTCTAATATAGATTGACTTTTATATAATTTGTTATATATATAAATTGGAGTAATATATCATTGCTAATCTCTACCAGGGTATACATCTTAATATCGTATTGTGTTTCTATTCCAAAAGTAGCCTTCTTTCTCTACTACAATTTTTAATTCTTAATCTTTATATTTCAAATCTTGATTGTGTTGTTTTCTTTACTGCCCTCAATTTCGAATCCTTAATTCTTGCATTGTATTTCAGATCTAGATTGTGTTGTATTTTTTTTGTTTTTATGTTTCTCTACTACCATTTCGAATTCGCACCCTGCATTGTAATTTAAATGTAAATGATGTTCTATTCTTTTCGATTTTCATACTGCAATTTTGAATTCTTAATCCCTGCATTGTATTTTAGATTTATATTCTATTGTATTCTTTTCGTTTTCTCTGTTGCAATTTTGAATTCTTAATCCCTACACTCCGGATTTAGATTTTGTTGTATCATTTTCGGTTTCTGTATTGCAATTTTGAATTCTTAATTCATGCATTTCAGATTTAGATTGTGTTGTGTTGTATTCTTTTCAATTTCTCTTATGCAATTTTGAATTTTTAATCCATGCATTTCAGATTTAGATTGCTTGGAATTTGGATTCAATCAGTTAATTGGATTTAAAATTCTGCGCTTTTTTCCAGATTAAAGTTATGGTGAGCAACGATGAGCTGAGTGAGAGTCAGAGGCGTGCTAAATTGGAGGCGTAATACGACAAGTTGTATGCTTCTGTCATGAAAAGGAAAAGTTTGATTGACGAGATGCATGTCACTGTAGACGAGCTGACCCACAAAGCGGAGGAGACCAAAAAGGCTTTCGATCATGAGGTTAAGATGCTGGTGACTTTGGTGCACAAATTGTCTGATCAAATAATTGCTTTAAAGAAAATTGTTTTAAAGAAAAAATGTCAAATAGACCGTTGAATTTTTACATTTTATCTATACTAGTTTTTTACGCGCATATATAATTGAATGTTGAATTTGCCTATTTAAATAGGTAATTCTAAATTTATAAATGCAAGATAATATAGTCAAGATTGATTATAATTGTCAATAAAATAATTGTAATTGTCAATAAAATAATTGTATAGGTATGGTTAAACCAAATACGGGACATAAGGGAGGGCAACTAAAAATTAAGGCATAAAATATTAAATGTATACTAATATTGAAGAGCTAACTGCTGATTGCCAAACAAGGACATTGAGAGGTAGTTTTTGCACTTCAATTTGTTGTGTGATTCGAATACTCTTTTTGTCAATAAATCCCACAAGTAGTTAATTAATATGATTGGCTTAATTATATTTTTTTTAAACAATTATTATTGTTATTGTTATTATTATTATTATTATTATTATTATTAAATATATGTATCATTTGGTCATTTTACATGTTAATCTAAACAACTAATTGTTTTAAATATATTTTTACCAACTGTTGATATAATTCGCTGGTCAAATCCGCTAATATAATCCGTTACCGCTAATTGCTCATTGTCAAACAAGGACATTGTAAGGTAGTTCTCACTTCAATTTGTTGTGTGATTTGAATACTCTCTTTGCCAACAAATCTCTCAAGTAGTTAATATTATTGACTTTATTAATTATATATTTTTTTAATTTTTTAATGGTATTAATAAAATACTTGGTAAATAAATATATAGCTTATTTTGTATTATAACTTTGATATTTAATTTAAAAATAGTGCACAAAAAAAAAAGATAATAGACAATGTAGTGAATATAATCAATTGGTGAATTTGAATGTAAAGAATTTTTACGTTAGAGAAAAATAAAGACAATATAACTAATAAAAATTATTTCTCTTAATTAATTTATTGATAATGAATAATTTTTTTTTTAATAAAGACATTGTAGGGACAATGTAGCGAATATAATCAATTGATGCATTTGAATATAAAGAATTGTTATATTGGAGAAAAAATATAGACAATATAACTAATGACAATATTTCTCTTATTTAATTTATTGATAATGAATAATTTTTTTTGAATAAAGACATTGTAGACACATAATTCTAAACTAAAGAAATGCATATGTATTATTTTTTGTTGTAGCTACTAAATCATTATTTAATTTAATAAAAGTAAAATAGAGTACTAGTTATGCCAACTTTGATTGGGATGGGGTTCAAACCTAAGACCTTTGTTATTGAAATCAATGAGTAAGTTAATGGTGAACTAACAGAAATTAACGGAAAAAGATAATATTTAACAGAAAAGTTAACAGAAAATCATATTCATTAAGGATAAATTATGAAATCTTAAGGAAAAATTAAAATCTGATCAATCTGAGCCATTCATTTGATTAAAAAATTTGACCGCCATTTTTTCTACCCATTATCTGCTAAGTATTAGGGTTAGTTTAAATCTAAACTTTAAAACAGAAATATTTTTAAAAAAGGTTAATATTAGAAAATACCTGTTTGTACTTTTGATACAAAAGAGCAGTTGGAATTCCAACCAAATCAGCCACTTCACGATCCCAAAGCAGGAATGGTGCATCCTTAGTTTTGTCTAACCAAAATTTTATACCTTGTTGTACCTTCTTGATAGTGTTTTTCACACTTGTCACATACTAGGGACCCTTCAAATTCTTTGAGATTCTTGTTACAGCCAGGTTTCATGCAGGCCATGTAGTACCACTCACCTCTTGAAGCCTCTATAGCAATTATTTCAGCAGGAACAAAATACTGACCATCCTGTAATTTAGTTAGAGAAAATATGTTAAATATAAGATCAACAATTCAAATTACAAAAAATGCGTAGAGATAACTCACCCCTTGGATTTTATAGAGATCAAAAATTGTTGAGACAATTGTTTCACCCTTTTGGAAACTTTCAATCCCTGTTGACTTTGAGTGTAGAGTGCCAGTGCTGAAACTTTTTAGAGGGGTTTCTTCAACATTTAACATTCACAAAAGGAAGATTTTACAGAATATTGAAGTAGTTTATTTACCCTGCAAAATTTAAATATGTATGTGGGGTAAATAGTCTTACTTGGATCTGAAATCCTTGAACTCATCAAACTCCTCATTAAACCATAGCTTAGTAGCATCATATGATGATGTTATTCTAACCTCACCTACAAAAAAGTATGTAGTTACAATCTTACTTAAGTATGTATATGGGGTAAATAGTCTTATTTAGGTTCACATAGTGACACAAAATAGGAAATATGACTAAGCTTATAAAACTCACCATTAACCACCTTGGCCCTACAACACTGAATAGCTACAATCACTGGTTCCTTCGAATCAGAATTGTAATATGGCAGTAGAGAGTCCACATGAGAATCCCACAAGGTACACATCAAGTAATTGTCACTGTTTTTTGTAGGCATAAACAGTAATTACTCAGTTAAGTTAATAGATAAAATACATGTAGGATTTAAGCTAAATTTACTTCATCTAGACAGACTTCTAATAAAGTATAACCATACGCATTATCACATATTTGAAAGTCAATCAATTTTGCTGCTCTACCACCCACAATCTTGTCAACAGGATTATAAATCTCCACTACACGATCCATAACATCTGCAAAATATTTAAATAACATAAGAAGTTATATATATAAGATTAAGCAGTTTTTTTTTTTCATTGTAATAGGAAGAGTATAACAGTAGTACCAATGAGTTCTTTTTCATTTACTTCATTTGGATCTTTCAAAGAAACAAAACTGGTCAACCGAAACATATGCAGGGGAAACCCTTTAGAATTTATCAGTTTGACTTCTGTTTTGTAATTGAACTTAAGCATATATTTGTGTTGTGTGATCTTGTACATGTAATAATTTGTAACGGCATAATTTTTTTTTTTTTTATCTCATAGAGTTGTCCTTCTTTTATAACTTCTTTGTATTTTCTAACATCTATGTTCTGAATATTGGCATGTATATAATCTCCCTGCAAATAAGAAAGAAATAAAGCAATAATCAGTCCCATGACTTTATCATTTTTTGTACTGTTACTGGTATTTTTTGACTCTGTTCTACAGAATGAAGAACTAAGGATATAAACATGTCTCTGTTACAAATGCAGTAAAAAAAAATGTATTACCTGATCATCATGGAGCAAACACTCCATACTCTTGATGGTATTCCCTCCTCCCCTACTTTCAGGCACTACATACACCCTTACACAACGTACTCTAATACCTCTCAGTTTGTGTATAGGTTGGATATCTTTTACAGCAATAAAAAGGGAAGGAATCTTTAGAACTCTTTTGAAGATGGTTAATGGTGATGACAAGAACAGTTTCAATCTAGGACGAAATACATCTCTGATTTGTGCCTTTTATAGGCACAAATGAGATATTCAAATCACAAGAATCGAAGAGTTTTAGTGAGCATCCACAACATTGGAACACCAACTATTCATTAAATGTTAATGTTCATTTAATTCATTCGAATTTTTAAATTAACCTAATATTTTCTATTAGGTTTGTATTATTCCAAGGGGCTTGTAATAATTTCTCTGCGTATGTTTGTATCATTATCTGGTACAGGTAGGTTATACAGATAGAATATATATATATATATATATATATATAAATGCAGGAGAAAAATTATAGGACGAATTTGAATTATATTGTGGTCTTGAAAGGTCAGAAACGATTATAATTCTCTGACATTATATGCATTGGTATTCCCATGAGGGGTATAATGAAGGTAAAGAATCTAGCATTAATTAGCTGAATTATCATTAACGCATGGGAAATACACATCACAATGCATGAGCGGGAAAAATGTAATAGCAGTAACTTAAGCCAAAACGGCGTAGTATTAGGTGGGCGGGAAAATGAAAACTTCAGCAAGTTATTGTTTTATTATAGTTAGATTAGATTATGGTTATGAGTTTATGTGTATTATGTATTATGTATTATGTTAGATTATGTGTATTCTGTTATGAGTTTATGTGTATTATGTATTATGTTAGATTATGCGTATTCTGAGTTTATGTACATTCGAAACAGATAATTTTTTTTTTTGAATTTAACAATAGAAATGGGAAACAGGATTTCTAAAAAAAAACATGGTCAAAACGACGCCGTTGTGGTCAGGACGCACAATGCATTGTGCGCCCTGGTGCACGGTATAATTTGCCTATACTGAATGTTCACAATATATAAAATTGTGAACATTCCGTAGGTAAATTGTGAACATTTAATATATAAAAATAAAAATTGTGAACATTTAGTATATAAATTGTAGATTTTTGACCCCGGTTTCACCTTGCAAGGTGGACTCAAGTCCACATAATAATTTTCCATTAAATAACTAATACACTGGAATAGGCCGTTTTGTTGCAATGAGGAATTATGGAAGGAAAAAATTTGTAATTTTTTGAGAAAGGAATACGATAATAATAAAGTATGAATTCAAGTTTCATTGTTTAGTATGCATGAATAAAATTACTGTAAATTTCAATTATATTGTTTGGAGTATATGAGAATTTAAATGGAATAAAAAGTATAAAGATAAAAAAGTATAATGTGGTTTAAAAGTCATGGGGTATTAAAAAAGTTATGAACTTTTGTAAACTTTTTTTTTTTAATTTATTATTTTAGGACTTTTGTATATTTTTCCTTTTCAAATATAAATAGTTGAAATCCGACACGTAACTCCAAGATTTCAAATTTTTCTTTCTACCAATTCTGAATATTTTATCTCTCTATCTAAACTCTATTTTTTTTCTCCTTATTTAAACTCTATAAATCTTATACCTAAATTCGATAAATTTTTTTTTTCTTCATTATTCTATATTTTCTTCATAGCTAAACTCTACCACTTTTGTTTCCCTCCTAAACTTTACCATCTTTTTCTATAAATTCTACAGATTATTTTTTCTTCATTATTGCTCGTATATTTTGATTTTTATTTTTTCTACAAACTTTTTATCCTTATCTTCCAAACTTTTCTCTCTAACTTCTAAACTTTATCTATGAACTTTTTCTCCTCAAATACATTAACAAAGCAAATTTTTCATCTATCACCATCAAATTTTAGTATATGTTTCATAATATTCATATAAATACTTGTATATTGTGAGTTTTATTCATTTTTTGTTTATATTCGTAATATAATTTTTTTCCTTTTTTTTTTTTTAACAACAAGCTACTGCGAATAGCGAACTGTTGTTCGCAATACCAAATTGCTATTGCAAATAATAACTATTTTGCTTGATGCCTAAAAATATATGAGGTATAACTTTTAATATATTATGAATATTATATTTTTAATTTTTTTATTTTAAGCAACTATTAATTACATTTTTATATGTTTTATTTAAAAAATTTTGTTACGACGGATAAAAATAATAACGTTGAAAATGTTGGTGTGGGTGAAACTATAAAATAAGAAAAATTTAATGATATATTATAACATGTTTTGCAAGAAAATTATAAATGATAAGAATCAAAATCATTGAAAGTTTATAAATATGTATTGACACTAGTTATCGTTAGACTATCGGGTCTCCTAGTGTCCCCCGCTTGGGACTCTCGGTTCGTAAACTGAGTGCAAAAAGGGAGAAATCGCCTCGATCGCACGTAATCCGACTTTCCGGTCATACCTAAATCCAATACCATGATTGGTAAAGTTAGATCTCCCGATCGCAATTAATCCGTCCACTCGGTCATACCTAGCAATTCGATCATGGCTAGTTTCCCGATCGCTAGATCGGGAAAGATTCGACCTCTCGAATCATGTTGCAAAACCGACTCCTAGGTCGGGCAATCCCTTTCTTTAGTCCACCAGACTGCGTTTAGCATTGTGCTCTTTTTCCCTTGGCTAAAACTTTTTCCCACTGGTTTTTTATTAGCTTAAGGTTTTTAACGTGGCAACCAGCGTAGGTCGCAGACCGTGTAGTCAGCTTTTCCAGCCCGAACCCTTCCTCATTCACTCATCGTCAGGGCACAGACTGAGGGGGCTTCTTGATGGGGAATATACCCCGGGTTCAAGCTCTCCGTACACTCCGTGTTCTCATTTTATAGTCGGGTCGGGGTCAAACGGTTCTAGTCCTGGTCTACGGGTCAAAGTCAAAGATAGCGGGTCAATCCGTGAGCCTATATAAGGGCCATTGACCCTCCTTTTTAGGGGGTTCTGTCCTCTCCACTCTCCCTCTCTCTAAAGCACTCTCTGTTAGAAAGAGGATTTTTTTAGGAATTGGGCGGGAAGTTAAAGTTTAAGATTTTGTTTTTATATATAGTATAGGTTAGAATAGGAATTGTATTACACTATTTTATAATATTAGAATAAGCATTTTAACTTATAATTATAGTACGAATATGAAAGTACAAAACAATATATTTTTATTAGAAAGAGAGATTTTTAAGCAATTGGGCAGGAAGTTAAAGTTCAGGATTTTGTTTTTATATATAGTATAGATGTGTGTGTGTGAACTGTAAAACTATGTTGATGCAAAAGGATTCAAACCCTTGACCTTTACTATTTCCAAACATGTGTTCTACCAACTAATCTAACTCATTTATTATTAGAGGTAATACCATCCGAGGTCCTCCGAGTATAGTGGTTTTGCCATATTTAGTCCTAAACTTTCAAATTGACCATATATGGTCCTTCGACTTTCAAATTTAATCATTTGTGGTCCAAGTTAACCACTCATGGTCCTTCAATAATTAAAATTTAACCAACCATGGTCCTTTCAAGAGGATCACAACTGGTTAAGTTTTGAAACTCGAAGGACCATGAGTGGTTAACTTGGACCACAAATGGTTAAATTTGAAAGTCGAAGGACCACAGATGGTCAATTTGAAAGTTTAGGACTAAACGTGGCAAAACCCCTATACTCGGAGGACCTCAAACGATATTAACTCTTTTATTTAATATTTTTTTTATAGTAATAATAGAACTTGTACTATATATACATATATACATACAAAGATTATATATGGGGTAGGGGTGGGGTGAGGGGGGGGGGGGGGAGCTGCCCTTACCCCCTTTGGCTCCGTCCTTGGGTAGCCCGAATTACTAAACCCGATAAAGAACGTAAATAATGAGAGTATTTTAAAGAAGACAGAAAAGATAAGTAAAAAGGCTAAAATACCCGATTTATTTTACCTATTAATATTTTTCAGTGAGTTTTGCAGGGCAATTTGATCAGAGTGACCAAAATTGATAAAAATTGAATAGTTAAGATACTAAATTGACAGTTTTAAAAGTCATGGATTGAAATTAACAAGACCTCAATAATTATAGGACCAAAAGTGAAATTAACTACAAAGACATATCTTTCACATTTTCAATGGCCAAAAGAAACAAATCAACGGAGCAGAATATCATAGCTCAAAATATCCTCGTTGAATGCAAAAGGGTGTTAAGCAGGGTGGAGGAATGGAATGTTTCTCTGATCTTGCGTGAACAAAATCGTGTTGCGGACGCATTAGCAGCCATATCCAAAAGTCTACCAAGAGGATTATAGCTCCTCGAAGTTCTGCCGGATGAGGTCAAGGCATTGCTTGAAGATGCCGAATGTGGAGTTCTGGCAGGGCGCCAAACCTTTATCTGATCAGTTGTTAACGGAGTGCACATATTTGGTGTATTAATTATTAACTGATACTATGTATCTAAACCGATACTGCCTCACGTATTGTTTTATATATTATCAACTGAAACTGCAATTCAATTGAAGTGAAACTGATATCTAAACTGACATTACCTCACGTATTATTTTTATATTATCAACTAAAACTGCAATTGAATTGAAATGAAACTGCAGTATATATAAAATAAAATTGAATAACATTTCACATTTTTGAGTTTATATTGAGTAATGAAGCTGTAGTTATATCAAAATGATCATGTAGTTCTGTTTTAATGAAACTATGGTGTATATAAAATAAAATTAATTAATATTTTCACATATTTGGTGTTATAATATCGAATGAAAATGTAGTCATATGATATGAAACTGTAGTTACATCGAAATGAAACTACAGTGTATACAAAATGAAACTGAATAACAGAGTTACTTTTTACGAAATGGCGCGGAACGGCACGAAACAGATGGCGTTTGTTTTCATTAAATAAAACGACGTCGTTTTGACGCGCGGTGCATAATCAATTATGCACCGCGGTGCATGATATAATTTGCCCTAGCTGATTGAAATTGTATTTCGGTCTTGTATGGTTCACCCCTCCATTAAATATTTAAAAAAAAGTTAAATTAAGTAAATATTATTATAGTTTAATTTTTACCATAAAAGAGAAAACAGTTAAAAAAAAATAAAAAATAAATGTCATGACTTTTTCTCAGGTCCACACGTTTTTAGTGGCAATGGTGATTTCTTCATTTCGATTCTCTAATATAGATTGACTTTTATATAATTTGTTATATATATAAATTGGAGTAATATATCATTGCTAATCTCTACCAGGGTATACATCTTAATATCGTATTGTGTTTCTATTCCAAAAGTAGTCTTCTTTCTCTACTACAATTTTTAATTCTTAATCCTTATATTTCAAATCTAGATTGTGTTGTTTTCTTTACTGCCCTCAATTTTGAATCCTTAATTCTTGCATTGTATTTCAGATCTAGATTGTGTTGTATATATATATTTTTTTATGTTTCTCTACTACAATTTCGAATTCACACCCTGCATTGTAATTTAAATGTAAATGATGTTCTATTCTTTTCGATTTTCATACATCAATTTCAAATTCTTAATCCCTGCATTGTATTTTAGATTTAGATTCTATTGTATTCTTTTCGTTTTCTCTGTTGCAATTTTGAATTTTTAATCCCTACACTCCGGATTTAGATTTTGTTGTATCATTTTCGGTTTCTCTATTGCAATTTTGAATTCTTAATTCATGCATTTCAGATTTAGATTGTGTTGTGTTGTATTCTTTTCAATTTCTCTTATGCAATTTTGAATTTTTAATCCATGCATTTCAGATTTAGATTGCTTGGAATTTGGATTCAATCAGTTAATTGGATTTAAAATTCTGCCCTTTTTTCCAGATTAAAGTTATGGTGAGCAACGATGAGCTGAGTGAGAGTCAAAGGCGTGCTAAATTGGAGGCAGAATACGACAAGTTATATGCTTCTGTCATGAAAAGGAAAAGTTTGATTGACGAGATGCATGTCACTGTAGACGAGCTGACCCACAAAGCGGAGGAGACCAAAAAGGCTTTCGATCATGAGGTTAAGATGCTGGTGACTTTGGTGCACAAATTGTCTGATCAAATAATTGCTTTAAAGAAAATTGTTTTAAAGAAAAAATGTCAAATAGACCGTTGAATTTTTACATTTTATCTATACTAGTTTTTTACGCGCATATATAATTGAATGTTGAATTTGCCTATTTAAATAGGTAATTCTAAATTTATAAATGCAAGATAATATAGTCAAGATTGATTATAATTGTCAATAAAATAATTGTAATTGTCAATAAAATAATTGTATAGGTATGGTTGAAACCAAATACGGGACATAAGGGAGGGCAACTAAAAATTAAGGCATAAAATATTAAATGTATACTAATATTGAAGAGCTAACTGCTGATTGCCAAACAAGGACATTGAGAGGTAGTTTTTGCACTTCAATTTGTTGTGTGATTCGAATACTCTTTTTGTCAATAAATCCCACAAGTAGTTAATTAATATGATTGGCTTAATTATATTTTTTTTAAACAATTATTATTGTTATTATTATTGTTATTATTATTATTATTATTATTATTATTATTATTAAATATATGTATCATTTGGTCATTTTACATGTTAATCTAAACAACTAATTGTTTTAAATCTATTTTTACCAACTGTTGATATAATTCGCTGGTCAAATCCGCTACTATAATCCGTTACCGCTAACTGCTCATTGTCAAACAAGGACATTATAAGGTAGTTCTCACTTCAATTTGTTGTGTGATTTGAATACTTTCTTTGCCAACAAATCTCTCAAGTAGTTAATATTATTGACTTTATTAATTATATATTTTTTTAATTTTTTCATGGTATTAATAAAATACTTGGTAAATAAATATATAGCTTATTTTGTATTATAACTTTGATATTTAATTTAAAAATAGTGCACAAAAAAAAAGATAATAGACAATGTAGTGAATATAATCAATTGATGAATTTGAATGTAAAGAAATTTTTACGTTAGAGAAAAATAAAGACAATATAACTAATAAAAATTATTTCTCTTAATTAATTTATTGATAATGAATAATTTTTTTTTTAATAAAGACATTGTAGGGACAATGTAACGAATATAATCAATTGATGAATTTGAATATACAGAATTGTTATATTGGAGAAAAATAAAGACAATATAACTAATGAAATTATTTCTCTTATTTAATTTATTGATAATGAATAATTTTTTTTTTTTGAATAAAGACATAGTAGACACATAATTTTAAACTAAAGAAATGCATATGTATTATTTTTTGTTGTAGCTACTAAATCATTATTTAATTTAATAAAAGTAAAATAGAGTACTAATTATGCCAACTTTGATTGGGATGGGGTTCGAACCTAAGACCTTTGTTATTGAAATCAATGAGTAAGTTAATGGTGAACTAAACGAAATTAACGGAATAAAGTTAATATTTAACAGAAATGTTAACGGAAAATCATATTCATTAAGGATAAATTATGAAATCTTAAGGAAAAATTAAAATCTGATCAATCTGAGCCATTCATTTGATAAAAAAATTTGACCGCCATTTTTTCTACCCATTATCTGCTAAGTATTAGGGTTAGTTTAAATCTAAACTTTAAAACAGAAATATTTTTAAAAAAAGTTAATATTAGAAAATACCTGTTTGTACTTTTGATACAAAAGAGCAGTTGGAATGCCAACCAAATCAGCCACTTCACGATCCCAAAGCAGGAATGGTGCATCCTTAGTTTTGTCTAAAACTCTAACCAAAATTTTATACCTTGCTGTACCTTCTTGGTAGTGTTTTTCACACTTGTCACATACTAGGGACCCTTCAAATTCTTTGAGTTTCTTGTTACAGCCAGGTTTCATGCAGGCCATGTAGTACCACTCACCACTTGAAGCCTCTATAGCAATTATTTCAGCAGGAACAAAATACTGACCATCCTGTAATTTAGTTAGAGAAAATATGTTAAATATAAGATCAACAATTCAAATTACAAAAAATGCGTAGAGATAACTCACCCCTTGGATTTTATAGAGATAAAAAATTGTTGAGACAATTGTTTCACCCTTTTGGAAACTTTCAATCCCTGTTGACTGTGATTGTAGAGTGCCAGTGCCGAAACTTTTTAGAGGGGTTTCTTCAACTTTTAACATTCACAAAAGGAAGATTTTACAGAATATTGAAGTAGTTTACTTACCCTGCAAAATTTAAATATGTATGTGGGGTAAATAGTCTTACTTGAATCTGAAGTCCTTGAACTCATCAAACTCCTCATTAAACCATAGCTTAGTTGCATCATATGATGATGTTATTCTAACCTCACCTACAAAAAAGTATGTAGTTACAATCTTACTTAAGTATGTATATGGGGTAAATAGTCTTACTTAGGTTCACATAGTGACACAAAATAGGAAATATGACTAAGCTTATAAAACTCATCATTGACCACATTGGCCCTACAGCACTGAATAGCTACAATCACTGGTTCCTTCGAATCAGAATTGTAATATGGCAGTAGAGAGTCCACATGAGAATTCCACAAGGTACACATCAAGTAATTGTCACTGTTTTTTGTAGGCATAAACAGTAATTACTCAGTTAAGTTAATAAAATACATGTAGGATTTAAGCTAAATTTACTTCATCTAGACAGACTTCTAATAAAGTATAACCATACGCATTATCACATATTTGAAAGTCAATTAATTTTGCTGCTCTACCACCCACAATCTTGTCAACAGGATTATAAATCTCCACTACACGATCCATAACATCTGCAAAATATTTAAATAACATAAGTTATATATAAGATTAAGCAGTTTTTTTTTCATTGTAATAGGAAGAGTAGAACAGTAGTACCAATGAGTTCTTTTTCATTTACTTCATTTGGATCTTTCAAAGAAACAAAACTGCTCAACCGAAACATATGCAGGGAAAACCCTTTAGAATTTATCAGTTTGACTTCTGTTTTGTAATTGAACTTAAGCATATACTTGTATTGTGTGATCTTGTACATGTAATAATTTGTAATAGCATAATTTTTTTTTTATCTCATAGAGTTGTCCTTCTTTTATAACTTGTTTGTATTTTCTAACATCTGTGTTCTGAATATTGGCATGTATATAATCTCCCTGCAAATAAGAAAGAAATAAAGCAATAATCAGTCCCATGACTTTATCATTTTTTCTACTGTTACTTGTATTTTTTGACTCTATCTGCTGAATGAAGAACTAAGGATGTAAACATGTCTCTGTTACAAATGCAGTAAAAAAAATGTATTACCTGATCATCATGGAGCAAACACTCCATACTCTTGATGGTATTCCCTCCTCCCCTACTTTCAGGCACTACATATACCCTTACACAACGTACTCTAATACCTCTCAGTTTGTGTATAGGTTGGATATCTTTTACAGCAATAAAAAGGGAAGGCATCTTTAGAACTCTTTTGAAGATGGTTAATGGTGATGGCAAGAACAGTTTCAATCTAGGACGAAATATATCTCTGATTTGTGCCTTTTATAGGCACAGATGAGATATTCAAATCACAAGAATCGAAGAGTTTTTGTGAGCAGCCACAACATTGGAACACCAACTATTCATTAAATGTTAATGTTCATTTAATTCATTCGAATTTTTAAATTAACCTAATATTTTCTATTAGGTTTGTATTATCCCAAGGGGCTTGTAATAATTTCTCTGCGTATGTTTGTATCATTATCTGGTACAGGTAGGTTATACAGATAGAATATATATATATATATATATATATATATATATATATATATATATATATATATATATATATATATATATATATATATATATATAAAAGCAGGAGAAAAATTATAGGACGAATTTGAATTATATTGTGGTCTTGAAAGGTCAGAAACGATATAATTCTTTGACATTATATGCATTGGTATTCCCATGAGGGGTATAATGAAGGTAAAGAATCTTGCATTAATTAGCCGAATTATCATCAACGCATGGGAAATACACATCACAATGCATGAGCTGGAAAAATGTAATAGCAGTAACTTAAGCCAAAACGGTGTAGTATTAGGTGGGCGGGAAAATGAAAACTTCAGCAAGTTATTGCTTTATTATAGAGTTAGATTAAATTATGTTATGAGTTTATGTGTATTATGTATTATGTATTATGTTGGATTATGTGTATTCTGTTTTGAGTTTATGTGTATTATGTATTATGTTAGATTATGCGTATTCTGTTATGAGTTTATGTGTTTTCTGTTATGAGTTTATGTACATTCGAAACGGATAATTTTTTTTTTTGAACTTAACAATAGAAATGGGAAACATGATTTCTAAAAAAAAAACGTGGTCAAAACGACGCCTTTTGGTCAGGACGCACAATGCATTGTGCGCCCTGGTGCACGGTATAATTTGCCTATACTGAATGTTTACAACTTACATATTGAATGTTCACAATTCAAAATGTGAACATTTAATATATAAAATTGTGAACATTCCGTAGGTAAATTGTGAACATTTAATATATAAAAATAAAAATTGTGAACATTTAGTATATAAATTGTGGATTTTTGACCGCGGTTCCACCTTGCAAGGTGGACTCAAGTCCACATAATAATTTTCCATTAAATAACTAATACACTGGAATAGGCCGTTTGGTTGAAATGAAGAATTATGGAAGAAAAAAATTTGTAATTTTATGAGAAAGGAATACGATAATAATAAAGTATGAATTCAAGTTTCATTGTTTAGTATGTATGAATAAAATTACTGTAAATTTCAATTATACTGTTTGGTGTATATGAGAATTTAAATGGAATAAAAAGTATAAAGATAAAAAAGTCTAATGTGGTTTAAAAGTCATGGGCTATTAAAAAAGTTATGAACTTTTGTAAACTTTTTTATTTTTATGTTTATTTTATTTTAGGACTTTTGTATATTTTTCCTTTTCAAATATAAATAGTTGAAATCCGACACGTAACCCCAAGATTTCAAATTTTTCTTTCTACCAATTCTGAATATTTTATCTCTCTATCTAAACTCTATTTTTTTTCTCCCTATTTAAACTCTATAAATCTTATACCTAAATTCGATAAATTATTTTTTGTCATTATCCTATATTTTCTTCATAGCTAAACTCTACCACTTTTGTTTCCC